TCGTGCTGGAGGGGGCGAGCCAGGAAAGGGCAGGTCCCCCGGGTGTGTAGGGGGGGCACAGCCAGAGCCCGGGGGTCTGAATCTGCCCCCAGCACCCGGAGTTCCTTAGTGAAGACCTAGGACCCCTAGCTCAGAGGGCCTGGCCTACGGTGACACAGATGGGGTCCCCATGTGCCCCTCACGGAAGACACCTGGCCTGGGGGACCGGGGTGTTCGCAGGGGCGGGAGCCGAGGGCAAAGCCCGTGCAAGGCCGTGGAGCGAGACTTCCTGCACAGCCAGCTTGGCCCCTTGGGGGTTGGGGCTCCCTCGGGGCCGGCCCCGCCCCCAGACCCAAGGGGCGGGGCCCTGGAGGGCGTGTCCAGGGCTGCCCCGCCCGTCGGGCTCGGGCCCCGCAGTCCCCGCAGAGCGCCGCGGAGCGCAGGGATGCCCGGGGCGGCCGCGACCCCTCGCCGCAGGGCGAGGCCGGGGGAGCGCGCAGGGGACGCGGAGCCCGCCCCGGGGAACCGCACAGGTGAGCGCTGGGGCTGCGGGCCACGAGCGGGGCTGTGCACCCATTTCACCGACAGGGAAGCTGAGAGACGGGCGGCACGGCGGAGGCGGGGAGGGGGAGCGCACAGCCGTGGGGGCAAGAGCACACAGCCGGGAGAAGGGGCGCACAACCGGGTCCGGGACGGCCCCCAGCCGGACAGCCGCCCAAGAACGAGCCTCCCCGACCCTCTCGACCGGCCCAGCCGGCGCCCCAGCAGAGCCGAAGCCCGGCTGCAGGCGGTCCGAAACCAGGCGCCGGCGCCCAGCCGCCCACCCGCCCAGGTGCGCTCCCTTTCCCGGTGCGGCGCCCTCTCCGCCGGCGCGGCCGGCTAGGTGCAGGGGAAGTCGGTGCGGCGGACGTGGGGAACCGGCCTGTCTTTGCGGGGACGTGCTCCTGGCTGGCCCCCCAACCCCACTTCACAGGTGGGGAAACTGAGCCTGAGAGAGAGACTGCCGGAGGTCCCGCGGCTGCCAGGCCCGGGATGAGGCCCGGGGTCTCCGGAAGGAGGGTGGGCGGGCAGTTAGCTTACTTTGTGACTGATTTCGAGAGGGTTTTGATGAGGGTTCACCGTCGTGCTTTGGCTGGGGTGTAGGACACTCCTCCGAAGGCCCGGGTTTGAAAGCTGGCTTTGCTGCATGAATGCGTCTAACGCCTAACCCTTGTAGAAGCAGAACCAGATGTCCCAGAGCCTCACTTTAGTGGGCGCCCCCCCTCCCCCTTGAGCCTGAGGGTCTCTGCACACCTGCGCCCCAGGCCAGGGGCAGGATTGGGCTCTTCGCACACGTGGAAGGTGGACCTGGTGGAGCAGGCTGGCCCAGGTCACAGCCCCTGGGTACAGCCATTCAGGCCTAAAACAATGACACCTGCCACGCTGGGGGCGGGGGGCGGGGGGACTGGTGGGCAGCTCCTTCTCAAATGGGGAAACTGAGGCCCAAGGCGGTAAGTTGCCAGCAGAGCAGAGGTGCTCAGCTTTGCAAGCAGGAGCTGAGACCTGCCCCTGGCTGGGTGGGGTGGGTTTATTTTCTTTGACTCCCTCCCACCCCACCCCCTCCCGAATTCGGTGCTTTGCTCCTGTTCCGGAGGACCCTGTGGCTTTGTTGCAGCACGGCCTGGGGAGCTGGATGTTGACCAAAAGATGGAGGGACTTGCCCAAGTGGAGCCTAGGACGGGGATGGGAGGCCCTGATGTGTTTGCATACAAAAGACTGCTGAGAACTCAGCGTGGGGAGGGCTCTCAGGGGCCAGTCCCTGCTTCTGATCAGCTACAGCTCAGCCTTCTCCCAGACTTGAGCCCTGGGGAGGGGGCGCTCCCAGCCCTTGAGTCCTTCTCCAGCATTTGGGTTGGAAGCCCCCCTCTGCCTCTGGCCTCAGTTTCCCCATGTGCTAAGTGGTGGACACTGCATACCTGCCCCCTGGCTTGTGGACAGGCCAGGCGGAGTCAGGGGGGCCTGGGCACCCACCCTGGCCATGGTCGTTCTGCTACCGGGTAACACGTCCATCCAGACTCCACCATTCCCCTGCCCCATGGCCCGGGTCTTTTGAGCTGTGGAACAGGTGCCCTGTCCCTGTGGGGTTGTGAAGGGATGTGTGTGGGGGTCTTTTGGAGACACTTTGCCACTCCCTAAAACATAGCAGTGGGGGGTGTTTTTCCTGCAGTCGTAGAATGGACACATTACTCTGCTTTCCTGAGGGTAGGTGTTGAAGCCCAGCTGCGTCCTGGGGTCCACGTTCTTCCCCCATCGCCCATGTGTGGCTGGTGAAGGGCCGGTGGGGGAGGCTGGCTCAGAGCAAGGGTTTAAATGATGTTGAGTGGCTGGCTGGGTCCTCAGCCCACCACGGAGGCCACCCTTCCACCGCCCACAGGTCCCCGCTGGCTCTGGCCCTGGTCCCAGGGCAGCTCCAGCAACTCCCTGATGGGGGAGATTGTGTAGGAATGCAGCCCTGTAGGAGGGACACAGGGTTCCAGCAGCTGGAGGTGACCCCCCCAACCTTCTGGAAGGCCTTGAAAGAGGGGCCTGGGAAGGGGGCAGCAGGAGGACCCAGGGTGGCGAGGGTGTGCCCTGGGCGGCACTCCTACGGCCCTGCCGTACAGCTGACCTGCGCCCTCTCCTTCACGGAGGAAAGACTGAGGCTCAGGGCGCGCCGTGGGAATCCAAATGTGGCCTCTGTTCCCCCGAGGCCAGCTCGCCCTCCTCCCAGGTGTGGGCAGAGCCTTGATGTTCTCCCCTGAGAGGGTGGGAATCAGCCTGGCTCTGCTCTGGAAGACTGTATTCCGCTGGTGTGAGCTGACCTGCCAGCCGCCAGGGGAGTCCCTGGGTGACCCAGTCTCCACCGTGGCTGAGTTCCGGGCCCGCCCTCCGCGGGGAAAGGAGATGCGATCTGAGAGGGCGAGTGTCTTGCCTGAGGGCACACAGCCAGGGCTGTGGGCCTCCCACATGTGGCTGTCCCCCCTGCTGGGGTCGTGGGGGTCCCACCCTCCATAGAACACCTGTGTGTGTGCAGGTCACCCTTTTAAACTCTCCTCCTCAGGTTTCCCTTTCCAATTGGGGGAAACAGACTCAGAGCAAGAAGCAACCCCCCAGTGGTGCAGAGACCCAGACCCACAATAGGCTGTCCCTGCGGCCTGCCTCCCCCATCTCCAGTGTTCCTCTGGCAGAAGTGGGAAAGGTAACTTATTTACCTGGGGCCCCCAAGGGTGAGGTCAGGGTTTGAGGGCAGCGTGGTCTCCAGGAAGGAGGGTGGGAGGGGCAGGCCTGTGGTCCAAGGTTCCAGATAAAAGATTAACAAGAGAGGCTTGTTCTTCACCCTGCTGGCCATGCGGGCTGGGCTGGGGAAGCACCCGAGTCAGGCCCTGCTCCCCTCAATGTGCGAGGGGGAGTCGGGTGGAGATGCGACCATTCGAGGGCAGGTCTGCCCTTCACTGTCCAGGGAGCCCACAGGGTTTGGTTTGGGTTTGTGTCTTCTTTGCAACAAATGCATTCACAGTGTTTTTCCTCCTTTAAGATACATTTGGGCATAGCAAAAAAGAGACAGGGAGAGGTGCCATAAAGGGCCTGAGGAACAGTGCAGCAAAGGCTGAGGGGCGTGTTGGTCCAGCCAGAGAAGGGCTGGGGGTGCAGCGTCCAGTGTCTGGGCCAGTCACAGGTGAGAGGGTCATCCAGGGGCCGCTGGGTATCTGAGGGTTTTCAGCAGGGACGGGAGAAGATGGGATTTGCCTCTTAGACATCAAGGGAGGGGCTGTTGGCGGGTCAGTGAGGGGACCCGGGGGTCTCTGGGCTGGGGAGGTGTCAGTGAGGGGTGCGAGCAGAGGCTGAGTTTACAGTGTCTCGGGGACACGGCCGCTGGAGCCAGCTGGCCCAGCCGCCAGGCCTTGGTGACTCCTCAGGACGTCTCTGGGAGGGGGTCTTGGGTAGGTGTGTGCGAATCCCCAGTAGCCCTTTGGCACGTGCCACCTCCCTGCCCTGGCTGTGTGTCACGAGTCCTGTGGAAAGTCTTGTGGGGACCCTGCCAGTGGACACCCTGGGGCCTTGGGTAGACACGGTGGACCTCAGCTTCCTCGGCTGGAAAACGGGCTCAGCCCAGGGAAGGGATGCAGGAGACCCTGTAGGAGCCTGGGGCTGGGAGGGTGGCAGGTGGAGGTGTCTTGGGTGCCATGGACTAGAGGGTCAGAACGAGGCAGTAAGCCCCCTCCCAGGGGACAGTTTCTGAGCTCCAGGTGCAGTTCTAAGGTTTCCATGGGGTGGTCCTCCTCTTCTCCGTGAGCCTGGGGGGCAGGTCACCCCGTTTTGCAGATGGGGACATGGAGTCTGAGCGAGGACCTGGGTCCGGAAGACGGTGGAGCAGAGTCTGACCCTGTGGAGAGGCCCTGAGGTTGGGGGCTGGGCGTGTTCCCACAGAGCAGGAGCACCCTCCTGCTTGTCCTCCGCCTCCCATCCAGGCTCTGGGATTATGGGGGCCTGAGCTCCCAGCCTGGCCTCCTCTGCAGGACAGGCTGTGGGCAGGGCTTCTCACCCACCCCTCACTCACCAGGATTATTTCCTCAGGCCTGTGTTTTTAAGTGTTCAAGCAGCACACTTGTGCTGGTGGTGCGGGTCCCCGCCTCTGAGGGGTATGAGCTCCCCTCACTGCCAGGAAATGCAGAGTCTGAGGCCACAGCGCTGGGGAGTGGGCCAGGACTGCTCTGAGTCTCGGAGCCTCACGGTGTGTTCACAGGGTGCGCCCCACATCCTTTTTCCTGTCTTGCATTGGGGGTGCGCCGTGGAGGGTCTGCAGGTCAGCGCAGCCCCTTCCCTGCCTCTCACGCCCCACATCTCCCACCTTCACGGCTGTGAGCACTTGGGGAGGAGAACTGCCAGGTGGTGAAACCGAGGATGGGCACCCTGGCCCCGGAACTGGCCACAGCACAGGATGTGACTGTTGACACAGGCCCTCCCCCCACCCTGTGCACACGCCGGGGCGCGCTGTGTCCAAGATGGCAGTGGTGGTTTCCCTGCTGGGGCTACGCTGTCTGGGGCAGGCCCCCCGGCCCCCGGTCCGCTGCTGCACCTACAGGTGGGTCCCAGGCCCAGAGCGGCGGAGTGATGGGGTCACCCAGCTGGTCGGGGGGGTGGCGGGTGCAGAGTTGGCTTGCTGCCTGCTTCCTGGGGCCGGCAGAGCCTGAGGGGTAGGGGTCTGGGCTGGGCCCTGGGGGGCAGAGCGGGCCACCCGGTTACATGCAGCAGTGACGCTTGCTGGGGCGCTCTCCCCGGCTTGTCTCGGACATGCCAGACATGCCGCAGAGTTGAAGGGATTTGTTACCACGTCTTCCAGCTTGACCCTGACCCTGGACCTTTCACCAGCGGCTCCATCCCTGGGGCACCTGGCCTTCTTGAGAAAGTTCTAGCTGTACAGACCGGGTGCGGGAGGCTGGGCAGACCGCTGCGGACACCCCCAGGGCTCAGCCCCCTCCCCTCGCCGAGGGCCATGCTGGGCGGTACTGAAGGAAGCTGCTGAGCCACACAAGAATGCAGAAGTGACAGCTCTAAATCGGGGTCTGGGAAGTGTTGGGGCCTGGTGACTCTGCGGAAGGGGCCACGTGGCTGGCCTGTGGCTGCCGCGCTCTATCTACCCGGTTCCAAACTGCCCTGCCTGGAAGGTCAGCGTGAGTCCAGGTCCAGGGATCCTGGTGGGGGCCACTGACTCTGGGCATCCTTCCATTCGTTCGTGACTACATTGATTCCCTCCCCCATGGCCGTCTTCGGGGCAGAGCTTGGTCAGTTAAGAGCTGACTCTGGATTCAGAGTCTGCGTCCCTCTGGGTACCCCCAGGCCAGCGAGTGTGAGTGGGAAGCGTCCAGGTCAGGGCACAGGGCAGGTGCTGTGTCTGCGCCCTTCCACCCCCCGCCCACCCTGGTAGGCTAGCCTTTTTAATATTGGCCAAGCTAACAGGCCAAAAACAATACCTCGCGTTTTAAATTTGCATTTCTTTGATTGACAGAAGTATTTTCTTGAAATTGTGTAGGAGCTTTATTGAGATGTAATTCATATTCCATATGATTCACCCATTTGAAGTACACGATATTTAATGCGTGCAGCTTGGTGGCTCATGGTACATTTGCGGATCTGGGCAGCCCTCACCACGGTCCGCTTTAGAACACTTTCATCACCCCAGAAAGAAGCCGTGCATGCCGTAGCCGTCTCTTCCCCGCCCCTGGCTAATCCGCTTTCCTTCTGAGGATTGGCCTCTTCCGGGTGGTTCATAGAAATGCAGTCAGACCACGTGAGGTTTTGTGGCTGCTCGGCCACATGGTAGGTCAGCGCCTCTCTCCTTTGATATTCCGAGTGTGGCTTGTACCATATGCCATTTATCCGTTCATCAGTTGGTGGACACGAGGGCGGTTTCTCCGTTTCGGCTGTTGTGAATAACGCTGCCGGGAACATGTGTGTACAAGTCTGTGTGGATGTGTTTTCATCTCTCCGTTTGGTAGCTGGGCGGGGCGTTGCGGCATCACGCGCTGACTCTCCGTGTGAGTGCTGGGTACCCGCCAGGGCCGCCGCCCGCTACCTTTCCGCCTGCTGCGCGCGAGGCTCCGGCTTCTGCACATCCCTGCTACACCTGTCACCCTCTGTCTCACGTACGGGTGCTTGTGGATGTGATGCAGTCCCTCCCTGACCTGATTAGCGCTTTCCTGAAGGCGAAGGATGCTGAGCATCTTTCCATGGGCCACTGGTCTATCTTTAGAGAAATGTCCATCCAGATCCTTTGCCCATTTTTAAATTTGGTTCCCTTTTATAATTCAGTATAATAATTTTTTAGGGGCGCCTGGGTGGCTCAGTCGGTTTAGCGTCTGCCTTCGGCTCACGTCATGATCTCAGGGTCCTGGGACTGAGCCCTGTGTCGGGCTCCCTGCTCAGCGGGGAGTCTGCTTCTCCCTCTGCCCCTCCCCCTGCTTGTGCTCTCTCTCTCTCTCTCTCTCTGACAAATAAATAAAGTCTTTAAAAAAGTTAATAATAATTTTTGCATTCTGAACACAATCCCCTTACCAGAGGTGTGATTGGCAAATGTTCTCTCGTGCTCTGTGGCTTGTCTTTTTACTTTCTCGATCCTGTCCTTTGAAGCACAAACGTTTTTCATTTCGATCAAGTCTCGTTTATCGGTTTTTCGCTTTTGTTGGTTGTCTTTTGGTGTCATATCTGAGAAATCATTGCCTGATCCAAGGTCAGGAAGATTTATCCCTCTGCCTTCTAAGAGTTAGCTCTTATATTTAGGTCTGTGATTCACTTCACGTTAGTTTTCGTGTACGGTGTGAGCAGAGAGCCAGCTCTACTTAGCACGTGGATATTGTCGTCCCAGCACCAGTTGCTGGAGCACTGTTCTCGTCCCACTGAGTTGTCTTGGAATGCTTTTCGAAACTTGCTTCACTGTAACTATGAGTTTATTTCTGGGCTCTCAGTTCTGCGCCATTGGCCTCGATGTCTGTCCCTTTGTCACTGTAGCTTTGCAGAAAGTTGTGAAATAGGAAACTGTGAGTCCTCCAACTTTGTTCTTTTTCAAGATAGTTTTTGTGTGGGCTCCATCTGCAAGTCCTTATGAATTTTGGGACTAGCCTGTTGGTTTCTGGAGGGGCGGCAGCTGGTACTCCGGTAGAGGCCGTGTTGCGTGTGCAGATGAGCGGAAGCCAGCGTCGGTCCCCACGGTGTCCGTTTCCCGGTCCACAGGGGCGGGCGGCTTCCCCTTTGTTCAGGACCTTTATTTCCGCCAACAATGTCCTAGAGTTTCCAGGGTTTAAGTTTTGCCCTTCTTTTGTTCAGTTTATCCTATGTAAGTAAGTGGGATTGCCGTCTCCGTCTCACATCCAGGCTGTTCACGGCCGCTGTGCTGAAATACGACAGATTTCCGTGTGTCGGTCTTGTCTCCTGCGGCCCTGTGGGAATTGCTTATTACTTTCTGCAGGTTTTTACTAGATTCCTGGGGATTTTTCTAGATCCAAGATCATGTCATTGGATGGTGAAGTTTTGCTTCTTCCTTTCCAATGTGAATGCCTTTTATCTTTTTTTAACTCATTGCCCTGCCCCTGGTTCTTAAGACATTTGTTTTTCTGTTCTGATTGACCCGTACTTTTCTGTTGTGACTTTGGACCCTGCTGTTGATGCGTAAGTGTGGAGACACCCCCTGCTATGCTGCTGCGTTACTTCCGGGCCCCTCCCCGTGGCATCCGCCATCTCCGCAAGCTCGGTGTCCTCGCAGAAAAGTGGGGATAAGGACTCCTCCCCACTGTCCTCTGGGGTGCTTATGAGTGCTGCACCAGGCCAGGAGTGAGGATCCTTTCTGACCAGAACATTCTATGACAGCTGCATTGCTGGTGGTGGTGGTGACGCTGGTGATGGACACCTGCACATGGGGAGGCCCAGCACTGTCCAGCCTTGCTGTGCCTCAGTTTCCCCATCTGTGAGGGAGTGAGGCACTGCCCTGCTCACGGGTGCAAAGCACCCATTAGGTGCCCAGCGTCGTCTGAGCTGATCCGGGAGTCAGCCCCCCCCATAAAGTGCACAAAGCATAAGGCCCCCGGCTCACATTTCCCCCCACATTGCGGCCTGTGGGCCCCCCTCCAGGTTCCCGGTAGGGCTGAGCACTTGCAGCCTGGCAGAGCGCAGCCGGGCACCGTCCCTCAAGGTCACTGCACACAGCCAGGGGTCGGGCAGCCACGGCTCCTGCTGTTTTCCTGGCGACGGGGGAGGCCTGGCTCTGCCCCACACAGGGCCGATGCTCAGGCCACTGCCCCCTTCGCAGCCTCGCCCTCACAGCGTGACAACGGGTGGCCTGGCCTTCCCTTGCAGGGGGCTGGTCATGTGCAGACATGTGACACACTGTGCGGGGTGTGTGCGTGTGCAGCTGTGGTCATTCCGAGGAACAGCCACTTCCCTGGCCCCATCCTGGGTGTGCTCTGCCCTTACAGCCTGTGTGAAGTGGGGTGCTGAGGGGGGGCACTCCAGCTCCCTGCAGATGTCCTGGGTATAGATTTTAAAAGCGCAGCCCACAGGGTTTGCTGGTGAATTAGCCGTGGATTGAGAAAAAGAGTCAGGGAGGGCTCTAAGTTTTGGGGCTGGAGCAAGTGAAGGAGGGAGGCCTGGTGCTAAAGTCAGAACACGGGGAAAGCCACGTGATGAGCAGGCTGGGGAGTGCAGGAGCTTGGCGGGTCATAGCATGCCAAGTGGGCCACAGAACGTCATGCCTGGCGCCTCCCCCGGGCATTGTCCTGAGCAGAGAAGCTGGACACAAAGGATATGTGTCTGGGTGCATGTGTGTCTGTGTGCACATGTGTGTCTCTGTGTACATGTGTATTTGTGCATGTGTGTCTCTGTGTGCACGTGTGTGTCTCTGGGCACATACGTGTCTGTGTGCATGCATGCCTGTGCACGTGTATGTTTGTGCATGTGTGTCTCTGTGCACATGTGTCTTGTGCATGCACGTCTGTGTACACGTATGTTTGTGCGTGTGTCTCGGCACATGTGTGTCTGTGCATGCACCTCTGTACACACGTATGTTTGTGCATGTGTGCGCGCACGTGTGTGTCTGTGTGCATGCACGTCTGTGCACACGTATGTTTGCACATGTGTGTCTCTCGGCACATGTGTGTCTGTGTGCATGCACATCTGCGCACATGTATGTTTGCGCATGTGTGTCTGAGCACATACGTGTCTGTGCATGCATGTCTGTGCACATGTATGTTTATGCATGTGTGTCTCTGTGCACACGTGTGTGTCTTGTGCATGCACGTCTGTGTACACGTATGTTTGCGCGTGTGTGTCTCGGCACGTGTGTCTGTGCATGCACGTCTGTGCACACGTATGTTTGTGCGTGTCTGTGCGCACGTGTGTGTCTGTGCATGCACGTCTGTGCACACGTATGTTTGCGCATGTGTGTCTCGACACATGTGTCTGTGCATGCACGTCTGTGCACACGTATGTTTGCGCATGTGTGTCTCGGCACATGTGTGTCCGTGCATGCACGTCTGCGCACATACGTGTCTGTGTGCATGCATGTCTGCGCACACGTATGTTTGTGCATGTGTGTCTCTGGGCACATGTGTGTCTGTGCATGCATGTCTGTGCACACATGTTTGTGCATGTGTGTCTCTGCCTGTGCACGTTTGTGCGTGTGTGTCTTGCACACGTGTATCTGTGCACACCATGTGTGCACGTGTGTGGCTCTGCACATGTGTATCTGTGTGCACTGTGTGTGCATGTGTGTGTCTTGCATACGTGTGTATCTTGCATACGTGTGTGTCTCTGCACGTGTGTGTCTGTGTGCACACGTGTGTGTTGAGAAGCTGGCCTGGAGCCACCTTGCCTGGTTCCAAATCCCTGCCCTGTGACCTCGGGAAATGACTTAACCACCCTGTGCCTCGGTTTGCTGACCTGTCAGGCGGGGAGAATGGCAGCTCCCCAGGAAGGTGCTGTGCAGATTGATGTGTTAATGCATGTAAGGTGTGGGTTCAGCGTCCCACACGCAGTAGGCTCCAGGGAAGTGCCAGCTATTGTCGTTGTGGTTATTTTATACAAGTGCTGTGATTGCTGCTTCATTCAGCCTGTCTCTGTGCCCTCACGTAGGCCAGCATGGTGGCATTTGTTGCCAGGATGTGCCTGGATTCCCTGTCCCGGCTCCACAGCAGGGCACATGGTGGTTTCCAACCCCCCACTCTTCTGCTTATGCTTGGGAGTGAACATCCTGGTATAGAAATCCTGGCTGCAGATTCGTTGTCTTTCCTTTGGCTAAATTCTTGGATGGTACACACAACACAAGGCTCTTAACATTTTCCCAGACTTGTCCAGGGAGGTTTGGCTCCGCACCCACCCACCGAGTCCCAGAGCGGGCGTTTCCAGCCTCAGGACCTTCGCCCCGGATCTTTTTTCTCTTCCTTTTTAGCAGCGTGAGGGGGGAAGACTAGCTCTCCCAGCACTGCGAGGACTAGTGTTCTTTCTTACACTCGGCTCCTTGCATTTCCTCTGTGAGGGGCTGCGTCCCGCATCAGCCGTTCCTGTTCACAGGGATGTTCCGTTTGTGTGGGTGTGTGCGATCGCACACGGGTTGAACCTTTGTCCTCTGTTCTCCCAATATCTTTTCCTGTTTCTTCCATTATTGGAAGTTTTCCTGTTTACTCTTCACGCTGTCCACGTCTCCCTCCCTTTTTTCTGGACTCCGCCTTCAGAGCTATGCTTAGATGCTAATTATGTGCCGTTGAGCCTTGAACATCACAGGGGTCAGGGGCGCTGACACCCATGCAGCTGCTATTCAGGTATAACTTCAGACTCCCCAAAAACTTTACCACTGCTGGCTCCTGGTGACCGAAGCCTCACCGATCACACCAACAGTCACTAGACACGTACTTGTGTGTTAGATGTGTTATGTACTGTGTTCTTACAATAAAGGGAGCGGGAGAGAAGCAAACGACGTTGGGAAAGTCGCAAGTAAGGGAACTACGCGGACAGTTCTGTCCTGTAAAAAGTCCCGTATCAAGTGGACCCGAGCCGTTCAAACTGTGTTCAAGGGTCGCCTGAATTTGCCTTTATTGTCTTCTGACACAAAGTTCAGCACCGTGGTCTTTGGAACCTCTAGAGTTCACTTACTTTGGGGATCCGCTCTGTGTCTATCTCTGGGCCACTGGCCGGATGGCTGCCACGCCCAGTAGTCTGGGCCATGGGACCTTCTCCGGAGCGTCACGTGGCTGGCAGGGCTCCTGCCCACCCTCCGCCCGCCAGGATGGGGTCCTCACGCCATCTCTCCTCTTTTCTTTCTTAGGCACGTGCACACGTGTGTGGCCACCCCCGCGGGGCACCCTCCAAGTCCTCCGTGGCAATGGCACTTCTGTGGGGACCGTCATCGTGTTCCACTGCCCCTCAGGCCACCAGATGGTTGGGTCCGGCCTCCTGACCTGTGCCTGGAAGGGCAGTGTCGCCGAGTGGTCTTCAGTGACCCCCGTGTGCAAATGTGAGGCCTGCTCCCCCCAGCCTTTGAGCCCTTCCGGAAAGTCACCTGAGACTGCCCATAGGCTTCCAGAGGGTTGTGCTGGCTTGTGACCTTGTGGAAGCATGCCGTGGGCTGTGTGCAGGCATCTGGGGCCCAGGCTTCAGTGTGTGGGAACCAAAAGGACCACCACTGACCTCGCTGTCAGAGCTGTTTCCAGTGTGCCGCTGTGAACTCCTACACACCCTCTAAAACCCTGCCTGAACACCCCTTTCTCAGAGGGCAGTGTTCCCTGATAACCCCACCCCGACAACACTCTGCACAGAACTTTGCCCCCACCACCAGCAACCTGCCTTCCCCCGCAATGGGATGGGGCTTGCTGAGGGCCTCGGCAAGCCCCACGCAGGAGGTGGCCTTGTGTCTCCTGCAGCCGTGCCGCCGTATGAGACCTTTGGCTTCAAGGTGGCTGTGATTGCCTCCATCGTCAGCTGCGCCATCATCCTGCTCATGTCCATGGCCTTCTTCACCTGCTGCCTCATGAAGTGCATGAAGAGGAGTGAGCAGCCATCTGACAGGTATGCTGGCCCCTGTGGCCTCTACCCCTCCCTGCTGCCAGAGCCAAGGACAGAGGCTCTACACAGGCACCTGCTGTCTGTGCTGGGGCCTCCTGCGGGTGTGTGGGGACGCGGGGGCTGCCCTGGCTACTCCGGGAGCTGAGCTACAGGCGCTGCCCCGTGGCATCCGGGGTCTCGGCATCCCGCGGCTCACGGAGCCTCATGGCCGTGGAAGATCTTTCCTGACCGGGCCGTGCACGCGGGGCTGGTCTGGTTCTCCCTCAGTCTGGGCCAGCTCGCGGCTTGCGCCCCACTGTGCCAGGCGAGCAGGGCTGACCGGCGATGGTGAGTTTTCGCCGGCGGCTGGAAGGCTGACCCACCGCCACTTTCCTTCTTCACTGTAACGTAGCTTTTTCTGTATGTTTCTTACTATAAAATATTTACAACGTGCAAGCTGCCATCTTCACCATCTGTGAGTGTGCGATTCGGAGCTCAGTGTTCAGCTTCCATTGGCGCCATCCATCTCTAGAACTTCTGGCCACAGCAGCAGAGCCGCCCCGCAGAGGTTTTGGTGTTCTGAGCCTCCTTCCCCGATCTCTCCCCAGGGCGACCCAGCTGTGGCTCCAGCTGAGAGCCGGGGACTTGGAGACGGTGCCGGCGGCCTACCTCGGCCTCAAGGGTCTGAACAACAGCAACAGTGGCGGCAGCAGGGAGCCGGGGGTCCGGCCTGGCCAGGCGCATGACAACTACAGTTTTACCATGTGCGCATGGGGGCGGCGAGGGGGGCACCGGGGCGAGGCCGGGGGGGCTGGCCCGGTCAGGACACTGCCACCCCACGCGCTGCTCTGGCTCACCTGGGCCTCAGGTCTCACCCCTGCGCCGGCGGCTGGTGGTCCTTCTAGCCCTGGGTCCAGGCCCCGCACCTGAGGCCTTTATCCTGGGAATTCAAACCTGCAGAGACGTGAGCTCCCTTCCCGAGGACCCTGCAGGGCTCCCTGTCTCTCCCTGTCCTGTCTCTCACACTTCCTGCACATGTGCACACACTTTCTGAGCCGTTACAAGGTCGTTCTCTTACGTCCCGTTCTCTGACTCAGGGAGTCCAGTCGAGGCGGCACGTGGGCTGCAGAGAGAGCACCTCCCAGTGTCGCTAGCTTTGAGCGTGTGCCCTCTGACCCCGATGACAAGTGGCACCAGCGGCTGGGGCCTCTGGGTGCCGTAAATGGCACAGCCGTTTGTCTTTGGCGGCATTGACTTTTGCGGGCTCTGGGCCTGTGGTCCCACAGAGACCCCGTGTCCTGGGCCACCAGGCTTCCTCACGGCCACACTCGGGTTGCTTCTCTGCGAGGTGCCCCGTGGTGGCACGGGTGCGGATCACAGACACCGGTCGGGCTGGCACCCCACAGGCACGCAGACTGGGGTCTCTGCGAGGGGCCACTCTGCTGCCCCTACGACCTCTGACCTGTGGCCTCGGGGTCCAGGGATGTTCCAGCCAGAACCAGTTATTGCCCTGGGGGTGACAGAAGCAGAGGGAATAGTGTAATGGGCCTCCTGCCCACCTGCCATGCTCACGGTCTCTGTCCCTGGGCTCCAACCCTTGCTTGGCGGGAGCCGCGCCATGCCCTAATCCTACCTGCTTTCAGCACGCACCTCCAGTGCTTCCCGTGCTGTGGCCCAGGGCCCGCTGCTCCTCCAAGGAAGGGGTGGAGGGCAGCACTCAGAAACAGGGCTGGCTGCCCTTTCCCTCTGCCCATCCCCACCTGATGGCCATGCTGCATTCTGGCTGCTCAGCCCTCGATGTCCTCGCTCCAACAGCGAGGGTCTCAGTAGTGCTGGGCTGGGCCGGGGGGAGGGCTCCGTGAGTGCCAGCCATCACCGTTCTTCCTGCTCTTTTGCCTGAGGCACACATGAGGACACTGAGGCTCAGGAGGTGGCGCCCCACGTGGGCTTGGCGTGGCTGTCTGGTCCCGTGTCTGCATGCCACGTGCTGTGCTTGTGGGAAGGGATCAATTTCCCGTCCCCTCCCTGGAGCTCCAGATGCACCTTAGGTCACGCAGTAGGCATACATCGCGGTGGTTCGGCAGAGACGCTGCCTTGCGCCCTTTCCACCGCCACGCCACGCCATGTTGCCCTGGCATCTGAGGCCCCCCGAGCTTCACTCCAAATGCTCCACCCACTGCACTCATGTTTGGGTGAATGTCTGCTTACATCGAGTGGTTTTTCTTTTCCAAGACAACATTTGGGGCCATCCTAGAAATGGCCTGTTGGGGCCAAATGGTCTGGATGTTTTTCTCTGCACGTTCTTTCTCCCAGAGCACAAGCTGGGCCCCGTCTCCGAGTGTCCTGATCTGTTGTCTGCTTGCTTACTCAGCGGGTGCCAGCTTCCCGCTCATGGGCACCTCCTCGGTTAACGCTGAGGAAGAGCATCCCCCACACCTTTGGTGCCGCTGGCATTGCTGGCTTTATTGTGGGCTCCTCTGCTGAGTGACCGGCTGCTGACCGGTCAGTTCTGGGGGCTCTGTGAGCCTGTGCAAGAGGACCTCACCCACCTGCTGCAAGAGCCTTCCTTCTTGCTCCAGCCGTGCTGCACGGTCTTGGCTAGCGCATCCCCTTCTCCAAAGCCATATCCCCTCGGCAGGTTTCAGAGCTTTTCGGTCACCCCCACCGGTGGCGCCTCCTGGTTACAGACCTGTGACAGACTGTCCCGTGTCCCGGCTGGGGAGCGTGCCGGTGCAGTGGGGGAGGAATGGCTGCCTCTCGTATGTGCCCTCCTGGGCAAGTCCTCGGTGCCTGGCGGCTCCCACTGCAGGCGGTAAAATCGTCTCTAGGAGGTGGGGTGTGCCCTTGACCTTGCCTCTGCTTCCTGGATGCTTCCCGGCTCTCTCACCGTGCCAGACACTCTTCTAACCTTGGGGGGTGGGGGGTGCGCTGTTTTCATCCCATTTTAAGAAGCCTGTCCAGAATCACACACAACTACTCAGTGTAAAGCTGGGTTTGAACTAAGGCTGTCCATAGACTTGCCTGCTAAGCAGTCTTTCCTCTCCACTAATTAATTAATTGATTCATTTACTCATTGAACTAAGGGATAACTTCTTAATTCCTACTATTTCCTAGAGCTTTTCTGAGAATTAGGTGTGGGTGGGAGCAGAGATCCGGGGGGGGGGGCTTCCTGGAGGAGGTGATGCCTGAGGTGAACAGACTGGGAGAGCCTGCATTGTGGGGGGAGGAGAGAGACAGCATCTTAAGCTGGGGATGGTGCACAGCCTGCAGGGAGCAGTGGCCAGTGTATGCAGGAGAGGGGCCCAGTGGGTGGGGGCAGGGTCTCACCAGCCTGCAGAATGGGTTCCTTTGTGGGTTGGGGGTGGCATGCCCAAGGGAACTGAAGATGCAGACGGTGGGCGATCTGGGCCCAGACCACCAGAGGACAGCCTGACAGGAGCAAGGGTGTCTCCCTAGACATTCCTAGGACCCCTGTGTCCCTTCTCTGCCCCGGGGCAACCAGGCCAGGCAAGGAAGTCTGGCCCCTGGGGTTTATGCACACTCTGAGTGAGCCCCCTTCCTCAGCACCACCCCAAGAAGTCCCGTCCCACCTTGGAAGGTGGGCATGCTGCTTCGTGGACCATGTACCTCGTACAGGTGCGGGGTCTGAGGCCCAGGCAGGGGCACCAGTGGAGGGACCTCCTCAGGCTCAGGGCAGTTCTGAGCCTGCCCCAAGCCCACGGAAGGCCAGGCCCCACGGGCCTGTCATGGGGTCAAGGTTACACCGGGTCCCTGCTCTTCTCCCAAGCCTTGCCTTTTCTTCCTGCAGGGACCTGGGTGAGGGCACCAGAGAGCTGGCTGGCATGGCCCGCAGCATGGACAAGGACGCCTGGACCACCAGTTGTCCTGCGGGCTCACCCCATGCCCAGGTGATGGTGCACACGGCGGACCTGGGGGGTGCCCCGCCTGCCTCCTGGCCTACTGCAGGAATGTCCAGACAGCACATGGCCTACGTCCCAGGGTGACTGAGGCAGAGTCCAGAGCCTGCCCTCCACACGGGGAGGACCAGGCCCACCCCACCACCCAGCCACCTACATCTCGACCTGTGTCCAGCTTGCGATGGGTCAGTGAAACCAGCTTCCAGATTTAGGGATCCCTCAGGGAGCTGAGCTGGGGACTCCAGAGGGGTGTCCTGTCCCAGGGGAGCCCAGCTGGAGCAGCTTTTATAGATAGGCATCCTTGGAGCCACCACTGAGGTTCTGGAACCACACGCAGCACCCCCCCCCCCCGGCCAGCTGGCTCCTTTAAAAAGACTGGGGGACGTTTCAGCAAATCTCATTTTGCATGGTGGAGAGGGAGCAGGGACCCGGCTGGGTCGCTGCATCTGTTCCCTGCAAGTAGCCACGGGGGGAGAGGGGTGTGAAATAAACAATTCTAACACTGGAAAAACGAAGGTAAAAATCGCTGTCTCGATTTCCGATGTCCCTGTAACAGAACGTCAAGCAGGTTTTCCTCGAGGTGTGAAACAGCTCCCTTATCGCTCTGGGCTTGCGGGCTCTGCTGGGCAGCGCAGCGCAGCTGGCCAGGGGCTGGCACCGGGCCACGTGGAGGCCAGCCGGTGCACACAGCCAGGAGCCACAGCCGTTGGCGGAGGCCTCGCTGGTGGTGGCCATCTCCGTGGCCTGGGTCTCGTTGCACCCTGGTAGCCGGTGTCCACGATGAGAGTCCTGAGTGCAAGCCTTGCCATTCGGGGGCCTGGGAAGTCATGCCCGGTCACGGCCGCTGCTTTCCACCTACCGAGGGGGGCAGCTGGACTCCCCTTCTGCGCGGCAGGAGGACCAGGCAGGGGTGGACACCTTCAAAGCCATCCTGGTGCCCCCCCAACCCACAGCTGCCCAACCCCAGTCTTGTCAAAGCAGTTCCACGACAGGCTGCCCTGCAGCCTTGATCCCAGCGGGGGACGACGATGCTGTCGCAAATGGCTCTTCCTTATGGGGCTTGAGCAAGTCCGCCGAGGCTCTGAGTTCTCCCTGTCTCTCTTCAGGCCCTCTTCAGCCCTAGCGCTTGTCAGGATGAGGTGGTGGGAGGCCTGCTATCAGGGTTTGGGGGTGCCTGCAAGGGGAGGCAGCCGTTTGGAGATCAGCACACCCTCCTCTCAGCCTCAGACTGTGGGCTCTGGCTTGTGTGACCCTGCCTCACACGCCCGTCACCCCCTGACCTCACTGCTGGTGCTGAGTCCACTGCAGCCACACAGACTGTCTCCCAAGCTCAGGTCATCCGTGCCTGGGCTCCTGCATGATCCTCTTCCCCTATCGTGTGCAGCCCTCCCTCACTTCAGCCAGGCACCTGCTCCGATGTCCGGTGCATTCCTTGTGTCCTGCCACGTGACCAATGACCCTGAAACGAAGTGGCTCAAAAACAATAATCACTTGTTACTGCTCTGTTTCAGGTGGGGTTTGGCAGCGTGGCTCTGGCTCGGGGTCCCTCGTGAGGCTGTGGTCTCACCTGAAGACTTGACGGGGCCGGGGACTCACTTCCAGGAGATTCCCTCCCTCGTGGGCAGCTGGTGCCGGCTGCTGGCTGTGGGCCTCTGCTCCTGCCCACACCGGGCTCTCCGCAGCGTGGCCTGCGTGTCCTCAGCATGTGGGGGCGGCTCCCCCGGAGCAGGTAGCCCAGGAGGGAAGGGCAGAGCCACAGGCACCTTACATCCCGGCCTCAGAGGGCACCCAGCTCACTCCGCCACTGGTCACCAGTCACACAGGCCGCCTGGCTCTTGGGGGGAGGAGACTGCAGAAGGGCGTGACCCAGGATGTGAGGATGACGGGGCCATCTTGGGGGTGGGCAGCCCCTCCAGGAGGCCTCTAGCCTCTTGCTTTTCCTAGCACTCAGCGCCCCATCCCTCCTTTGTTTTGTCAGTATCAGGGGACCTCTGTTGGGGCAGGGCCCCAGCTTTTCTGTAATAATCTAGCTCTGGGTTGGGCACGCGGGAGGTGTTCAGGAGACATGTGTTGAATGAGTGAGAAGTGAAGGAATGAATGGCGGGCCTTGGTGGTGTGAGAATGTGGGATGAGAACGTCCTTGCTCCTCCTGAGCACTCAGGCCCCCTCATCACCCACCACTGTCCCTTTGCACAGTCAGCTTCAGCCACATAGGCCAACCCTCAGCCCATGGCACCCCACGCCCCTCCTGCCTCCAGCCCCTCTTTCTTCAGCTCATATAGTCAGGCTTTGAGTGCATTTTTGGAGTAGGTACTGGATGCCTGGCACCATGACCCAGTGTGGCCCTGTCCTTAGGAGCTGACATTCTAGTGGGGAGACAGCGGGAAGTGCTGGGGGACAGGACCAGGAGCCCGGGGAGGTGCCCTGTGGTGGTGTGGGGCCTTCCCCACTGCCAGGCCCACACAGGGTTTGATCAGGATCTTGGATTGTGCCACTTGGATCCATGAAACGTGAAATTCTTGTCATGGTCAGAATTGAGCAGCCCCGCAAGGCTGCTTCCTCCTTCACTGAATACAGGAGTGTTGACCCCCTTCTTCTTGACTTCTAGGACCTTATTAATTATGCAGATGAGCCCTCCGTGTGAGGAGCTGCCAGCATCCCTACTTCTTGTTTGCCTTATGACTTTGCCCAGCTGTTGGGGCAGGGGCTGAGAAGAGGCCTGAATGAGAAGTGGGTAGCAGGTGCAGACACCCCCTGGGGCGGGCTTCCCCTGCCCAATTTAAAATTGTATTTACTTTCTGATCACATAAATCATGCCACAGTGACAGAATTCAAAAGAAGCAAATGTCTGATGTGGAAGCGGAGTTGGGGGGGGGGTGGAGGGGGGCAGGGCCAGTGCATCCCTGAGGTCCAGGGACAGGTGGGGATCTTCAGTTAGCTCCGCAAAGCCCAAACAGGTCGATCCGGTCTGCCGTGAGAGACCCTCAGAGCTCAGCAGAGCGGCCCAGGACCATTGTCCTGCCGGCCCGAGTGCTCACTTTGCACCTGGTGGGTGCAGGAGTGGGCAAGCACGGAGGACACTGCGCCCCCAGCCAGGAGAGGAGCGTCTGGCCAGCCCTTTGACCTGGGGAGCTGCGGCCACCAGCTGCCCTCGGGGTGGGGACAGGGCTGGTAGACCACAGCCCCTCCACGCACTTCCACCCGGTTCGCCTGAAGGGCACATCCGGAGGGCACAGAGGCGTGGGGCCATGCGCACTGGGTGGGGGGCCCTTGAAGCGAATCCTGCACCTGGGAGGCTTGGCCTGGCCAGGACTCCGATGCTTTGAGCCTCGGTATCCCTGCTCATCCCGTAGGGGGAGTGATGTGAAGGTGGAATGCGGGCCACTGGTTGGCGCTCGCTGAAGGTGGGGAGCGCTTGGGAAACCCTGCAGTCCCATCCATACCCCACCCTTATGGCGCTGAGATTACTTCTAGAGGGAGAAGCAACCAGAGGTAAATGCTAGGAGCCATGACAGTGTGCAGAAAGCGGAATAAAGGGGGTCAGGCCGCATTCCACTGGGAGGCCCCTGTGGGAGGGAGCACCCGGGGCCCGGAGCTGGTTGGGGCGCGCCCTAGCACACAGGCCAGCGAGAGGCCAGAGGGACCCCAGGCGGCGCCCGTGACCCTCCTGCCCCAAGGGGCCCTGCCCTGCGGTCCCTCGGCCTGGGCCTCCCAGGGAAGCCCGGCGGAATTCGCTCCCAGTGTTTGGGCAGCTCCCGTTCAGTGACCGCCAAAACCAGGCCCAAGAGTTTTGGGATTTCCAATCCATTCCCTGGCTACCCCCAGCACACGCACCTGTGATGGGCAGTCCTGGCCCTGTTTTACAGGGGACAGCTGAGGCACAGGCAGGGGGATGCGTGGGCCTTGGGGAGGGGTCGGTGACGTGGTCAGGCCCCGCATGGCAGATTAGAGCCGGGGATGGGGGAAGGCCAGCACAGTCAGAGAGGACCCAGGTAAGACCCAGGCCCTGTCCGCTTGTGAAGGCCCCGCGTTCCTTCCCTGCCAGCTCTCCATCTCGTAGTTGGGAGCAGAGCTCAGTCCTCGTGGGGCTGCGGCTTCCTGAGCGGGGAGGAGAGAGCGGCCTGAGGTCACCCATTTTACAGCTAGAGAAACAGCTTAGGCAAGGCAAAGACCTCCTAGTCAGGGTCACTGCCAGGCTGGTGTCCTCAAGAGAGCTTGCTCCACTCAGGTGACACGGTTAGTTCTGGCTTCTCCCCTGTACCTCCTACAGCCTGACTTGCGTGACCTTGGGTAAGTCACTTACTCTCTCAGAGCCTCAGTTTCCTCATTCCGGGAGTGGGGCATGGTGGCGCGGGGCGGGGCCGCAGACTGTGCCCAGCTGCGCTGAGCCACCTGCTCACCGAAGGAACAAGTGTGGGGTTGGGGCCAGCATGGGCGGAGCCATCGCGGGGCGGGGCCTCCGTGGGCGGGGCCAGGAGGTGGGCGTCGGCTATTACGGAGGGTGCACCAGGGCTGGGGGCGGGGCTCAGGGCTGTGGCTGCGCCCTAGCCGTCGCCGGAAGGGGCCGGGCTATAGTTAGGGCGGGGTTTAGAGCCCTGGAAAAGAACGCCGGGGCGGGACTGAGTGAGGGGCGGAGCTAAGGACTTAATGAGAACCCAGTACCCTACGCTGGTGCGAACTCCAGAGGGCCCCGTAGCAGGCGGGGGCGGGGCCCAGTGAGGGGCGTGGCTCAGGACTATTGCAGTGACGTAACAGACGTCAGCGAGGGTGGGGCTCAGTGAGGGCGGGGCTTGGAGCCCGGGCATTGGCGGAGAGGCTCCAGGAGCCTCCGGGATGGGCGGGTCGCAGCGAGGGGCGGGGGCAATGACTCCTGACGACGGCGTAGCCGCCGCCGGAGGAGGCGGGGTTCTAGGGGGGCGGGGCTTAGGGCCCTTGAGGCGACGCCGCCGACGCTGGGGGTGGAGCATAACGGGAAAGGGCGGACTGAGTGAGGGCGGGTTAGGGCTGCCGCGGCGACGCCGCCGACGCCGAAGCGAGGCCAGCCGAGGGGGCGGGGCCTACCGGGAAGGGGCGGGGCTAACCGAGTCGGGCGGCGGCGGACCGACGACCTGACCCGTGGACGGCGACAGGGGGACAGGCCGGGCCCGGCCGGGCGCGCGCCGTGCCGCCGCCATGACAGGTGAGCGCGGGCCGGGCGGGGGTCCTGCCTGCCCACCCGGGCCGGGCGCGCGGCCTTGGTGGGCCCCAGGGTCCGGTGCCCCGATGTTGCCCCAGCCGCAGCTGCTCGCGGCCGCAGCCGAGTGACCTTGGTCCGTGACCGCCTCCCGGTCGGCGGGCGGACGACAGGCCGGGGGCCGTGGTCGGGTCCTGGGAGGTCCGCGGGGGCGGGGCTGGAGCGCGCCTGTGGTTGGGGAGGTGGACTGACAGATTCCTCCTGCGCTTCTGTGAGGAGCTGCAGCCCCTCCAGCCTCTGCCACCTGACGTCCAGAGGGGCGCGTTCCGGTAGGACTATGTTGTGTCCCGGGACAAGCCCTGGGGAGCCGGGGACACAGACTCAGTCCCCCGGGCGCCCCTACCCCCTCCGGCTTCTTTTCCCAGGATGGGGCCGCCTGTCATCCCCCTGGAGCCTGTTTGGACTGGAGAACCCACTCCGTCCTGGTCCCAGCTGAGCACGGCCACCTTGCTTTGTGCATCTTCCACGGGGGGAGACACCCGGTGATGGTGATGGGTTGGCGACGGACCCTATGACAGCATGATCAGGGAATGCTGTTTTTCCCGCACATGTCGTTCCCAACGGCCCCACTCTTCCACCTCAAGGGGTGGTCCACAAGTCCCTGTTCCCTCCCCCGTGCCCACTGGAGTCACACAAATGGGATTTCAGGGGCTGGAACCTAGTGTCTTCTGGGACCACAGTGTCCCGGCCTAAGTCAGAAGAGAGCCTAGCTGCCTCCCATGCCCCTGTCATCTTTCTGAACCCTTTTTATTTGTGGCTTCTATTTACCAGCGCCTACTGTGGGCTTGGCCCCGAGCCAGGGGGCTCCCACCCAGAATTGCTGTAGGGTATCCTCTCTGTGCGGAAGAGGAAATGAAGGCTCAGGTTGGACAGGTGCCAAGCCCCAAGCCACCCGGATGGTCAGTGGCAGAGGCAGAACTCGGCCTGCGTCCTACCCAGGCCCCCTCAAGGTCCTGTGGGAGCCTCCCCACCTGCCCCTTTCTCACAGCCAAGTCTGAGTGCCCAGCCTCTAGAGATCCCTCCAGTCACGGCCCTTCACTCTTGGGATGGGGGACTGAGGCCCAGAGAGTGCAGGCCCGGGAGGGTCAAATGGACAGTTTTGCAAGGCTGCAGGCATGAAGTCCCTGGCTCACTGTCCCTGCGCACTGACCGGGCACCGGCCTTGTGCGGGTTCTGGGGTCTCCATGACAGGTTGCAGGATGAGCATTTGGACCCGATGTGTCTGCCTAGGGCCAGTGCTGGCCAGGTGTCACTACAGCTGTTCCTATTGCTGCTTGGAACCAGGCCCTGCCTTGTGGTGTGCTGGGGAGTGAGCCCTCTCAGCTCTGCACCCGAGGCCAGGTCTGGCCCTGAAACAGGAGGGGATTCTGGGAGGGACAGGAGCCAGGGGTACTCAGCAAGGCCTCTTCAGGGGAGGACAGTGAGCTCAGCACCACTTAGCCGGGGAGGAACCACAGGACAGCTGTTCTCATCCTTGGGCAGGGGTACCAGGCAGTATGGTGCCATTGGGGCTGCTCTGCAGGATGGCTCAGGGGCCTGGGGTGAGGACAGGTGGGGCAGCTCCCATCAGGCCTTGAGTGCCGGGGGGTGGTAAGGGGTTGGGGGTCTGTGGGCTTGGCACCAGCTGGGCAAGAAGGTGGGGGAAGTGGGGCTTGGCAAAAGAAGCTAGCACAGTCCTGCTGGGTTTTGTGGCAGAGCATTCCCCTCTATCCTGTAAAAACTCTCTGGGACTATCAGTCAGGACCTGGGACCAAAGTCATTTCCTTTCCTGCACTTTTTCATTCCTGGGTGTGGCCATCTGGGTGTGGTTTGCGTGCACAGCTTCCAGCCACCAGAAACCTTCAGCCCCAGGCTGTGCCACCGTGCCAGGTGACTCATGCTTGCTGCACAAGACTGCAGCTCGCTAGTGGCTGCAACAGGGGAAGCCGCTACAGTGTGCTGGCTGCAGTCCACGGGTAGCCCTGGGCGTGGGCCTTGGACCTACATGCATTCATTCCAGAACTCTTTAGTGAGTGCCTACTGTGTGCCTGCCCTGTGCACTCACTGCAGAGGCAGCACTGCGCGGAACAGCCTGGGGCCAGGCCAGGAACAGACTTGATGCAGCTAATTGTAGGTTAATGAGTGTAATAATTAGACAAGTGGGAAGTCTGGGTGTCAGCGGTTCCACAAAACCATGTGTGGGTCCAGCCACCATCTTCACGCCCTAGCTGGCTGTGGTCTTAGGTAGGTACCGTATCTCTTCGCCATGCCTCAGTTTCCCTCACCACAGTGAGACTACTGATGAGTCCGTCTTCCAGGTAGACTTTCAGGGCCTGGAAGGATTCAGAGGTTAGAAATTCATATTTTTGAGGGGCAAAGAGCAGCCAGGACGAGGTGGCAATGGGAGAGAGAGATGAGGAAGACATGGTCTATTGAGTTGGCCCATGGCGGAAGTCAGGGAGAAGACCCTACTTGTTCCCACATGATGACCTCTTTTTTATTTTTATTTATTTATATATTTATTTTTGTATTATTTATTTTAGATTTATTTATTTATTTGACAGAGAGAGAGAGAGCTATAGCAAGAGAGGGAACACAAGAGGGGGAGTGGGAGAGGGAGAAGCAGGCTTCTCATGGAGTAGGGACCCGATGTGGGGCTCGATCCCAGGACCCTGGGATCATGACCTGAGCCGAAGGCAGACGCTTAACGACTGAGCCACCCAGGCGCCCCGATGACCCCGTTTTTAAAAATCAACTTTATTGAGATTATTTACTCACAAGTGCACTTATTTTTAATGAATAATTTTATAAATTTTGACAAATGTATATATCCATGGCAGTACCAGCCCAGACCCAATGAAGTCAAACATTTCTGTCACTCCAGAAAGTTCATTCATGCTCCTTCCCAGGTAACCCCACTGGACCCAGGGATTCATCTGCTTTCTGTACCTTCCAGTTTTTTTCTTTAAAATTTAACAGTGGAATTTCCAAGTAGGATTTCTCTTTAATTAATACGTTTTTAGAGAATTTTTGGTTTATAGAAAATTGAGCAGATAGTATAGAGAGTCCCATACTCCTCCCCTAACCCAATTTCCTTTATTATCTTGCATTACTGTGGTTACACCTGATGAACAAAATTAATACATTGTTACTAACTAAAGCCCATAGTTTATATTCTAGTTCACTCCTGTGTTACACATTCTATGACTTTTGAAAAGTGCATAGTGTCCTTATATCCTCCACTACACTATCACACAGAGTAGTTTCACTGCCCTAAGAATCCCCTGGGCTCTGCCCATTCGTCCCGTGCTCCTCCCTCAGCCCTGGTAACCTCCAGTCTTTCTACCATCTCCATAGTTTTGCATTTTCTGGAATATCATATAGTTTAGTATGTTGCCTTTGCAGACTGGCTTCTTTTACTTAGCAGTATGCATTTAAGTTCTCTCCTTGCCTTTTTGTGACTCCAAAGTTCTTTTCTTCTTATCCCTGAATTATATTTCATTATAAAGCTGATTAAACAGAACCACCATACAATTATGCATTCACCTTTGTGTGTGTGTGTTAAAATATACAGAAGATAAAATTTACCATTTTACCCATTTCAGTGGCATTACATACATGCCCAGTGTTGTGAAACCATCAGTACTCTGTGCTCACAGAACTTCATCATCACCCCAAGGGGAAACTCTGTCCCTGTTACACGGTGACTCCTTCCTCCCCTGCCCCCGGCTTCTGGTGATCACTGTTCTACCTTCTCTCTTGAGAATTTGCCATTCTGTATATTTCATATAAGTGGAAATCATGTAATATTTGTCCTTTTGTGTCTTTGTTTCATGTAGCATGTTTTCAGGGTTCACCCAGGTCGTAGCATCCATGTCCTAGAGGTTCTTTCCTTTTTATGCCTGTGTAATATTCCACTGTGTGCATTTACCACATTTCATTTATCCGTTCCTCTGTACCTGGACTCTTGGGTTGTTTCTACTTTTGGCTTCTGTGAATAATGCTGCTCTGAACATTGGTGTGCAGGTATGTGAGTCCCTGCTTTCAGTTACTTGGATGGAGCGTGTACACAGGAGTGGGATTGCTGGGTCATGGGGTAAGTCTGTGTTTGACTTTCCTGTTCTACAGAGTGGCTGCCCCATATTACAGTCCCCCAGTCCTGTTCATACAGAACTCTGTGTGTGAAGTGCTTTCTCATTGTGGTTTTATCTGCGTTTGCCTCAGGATGAGTGACTGAGCATCTTGGCATATGCTCAGTAGTCCTTTTATGTCCTCTTTGAAGATGTGCCTGGTCAAGTCCTTTGCCCATTTTTGAATTGTGTTATTTATGTTTTGTTGTTGTTGTTGTTATGGAATGATAGGAGTTCTTGATATATTCTGGATATTGTCCTTTATCTGATATATGCTTTGCAAATATTTTCTCCCATCCTGTGAGTTGTCTTTTCTCCGCACCAAACCCCCACCCCCGACACATTCAAAATAGGGTTTCCTTCTGGACTCTGTTTTGTTCCATTGGTCTATATGTCTGTCCTTATGCCAGTATCATACTGTTTTGATCATTGTGCATTGTAGTACTGAAACAAGCGTGAGTCTTCCAATTTTGTTCTTCTTTTTCAGGATGGTTTTGACTATAAAGGTCCCTTTTAGTATGAAAAACAAGAAACATCATTGGAATTTGGATAGGAATTGCATTGACTCAGTAGATTACTTTGGGAATATTGTCATCTTCACAACATTAACTTCCAATCCATGAACAGAGGGTATATTTCCATTTATTTGTATCTTTCAGCGATGTTTTGAGTTTTCGGTGTACAGGTCTTTCACCTCCTTGGTTAAATTTATTCCTGAGTATTTTATTCTTTTTGATGCTGTTGTAAATTGAATTGTTTTCTCATTTTCCTTTTTGGGTTGTTCATTGTCAGTGTGTAGAGATGCAACTGATTTTTATGTATTGATTTTGTATCTTGCAGCTTTGCTAAATTTGTGGATTAATTTTGACCTTTAGGGTTTTCTATATATAAAATCATGTCATCTGCAAAACAGAGGTAGTATTACTTCCTCCTTTTCATTTGAATACCCTTTATTTCCTTTTTTTGTCTGATTGTTCTGGCTAGAACTCCCAGGGCTACATTGAATAGGAGTGGTGAGGGTGGGCATCTTGCTTGGTTTCTGGTCGTAGGGGAAAAGCTTTCAGTCTGCCACCACTGAGTATGATGTTCGCTGTGGGCTTGTCATATCCGACCTTCATTATGGTGAGGAAATTTTCTTCTATTCTTAATTTATTGCATGTTTTTTTTTTCTTTAATCAAGAAAGAGTATTGAATCTTGTCAAATGCCTTTTCTGCACCATTGGAGATGATTGTGATGTGTGTGTGTGTTTTACTTCACTCTATTAAAGTAATGTATTACATTGATGGGTGATCGTATGTTGGACCATCCTGCTCTTCTGGTGTGTAATCCTTTTACTGTGCTGTTGAATTCAGTTTACTAGTAGTTTGTTGAGGATTTTGGCATCAGTATTTGTAAGAGATACTGGTCTGTAGTTGTTTTGTACCCTTGTCTCGTTCTGGTATCAGGGTAATGCCCGCCTCATGGAATGCATTAGGAAGTATTCCCTCCTCTCTGTTTTTGGAAGAATCGTAGAAGTATTGGCATTTAAATGTTTGGTCGAATTCGCCAGTGGAGCCATCTGGTCCTGGGCTTCTGTTCATTAGGACAGTTTTGATTTCTAATTTAATCTCCTTGCTAGTTAGAGGTCCATTCAGATTTTCTCTGTATTTGTGTTTTGGTTTTGGTACATTGTGTGTTTTTCGGAATTTGTCCATTTCATCTCATTTGTCCAATTTGTTGGCTTACAAACTTTCATAGTGTTCTTTTGTAATCCGTTTTATTTCTGAATAATTGGTAGTCTTGTCCCTACTCTTATTTCTGATGTTAGTAACTTGAGTCTTTTTTCTTTGTGTGTCTAGCTAATGGTTTGTCAGTTTTTTGATCTTTCCAAAGAACCAAGTTTTGCTTTTTTTTCCCTATTTTCTATTGCATTTATCTTTGCTCTAATCTTTATTATTTCCTCCTTTCTGCTATTTTCCGTCTAGTTTGCTCTTCCCTTCCTGCTTCCTTAAGGTGTAACATTAGGTTGTTGATTGGAGATCTCTCTTCTATTGTAAAATTTGCATTTACAGCCTAAATGTCCTCCTCCGAACTGCTTTCCTGGCACCCCTTAAGTTTTGGTGTGTTGTCTTTTTCTTTTCAGTTGTCTCAAGGTATTTTCTCATTTCATTTGTGATTTCTTCTTTTGATCCATTGTTTCACTCTCATCTGCAGATTTTCCAGTTTTCCTTCTGTTACTGATTTCTGACTTTATTCTATGTGATCAGAAAAGACCCTTTGTATGATTTCAGTCTTTTAAAATATATTATGACTTGTTTTGTAGCCAGACTTGTTTTGCGGTCTGTCCTGGAGAATTTTCTGTGTGCACTTGAGAGGAATGTGTACAGGCCCACCTCAGAGCTATCGTGGGTTTGGTTCCAGACATAAATTGTTCCAGCACAATAATAAATATTGCAGTCAAGTGAGTCCAGTGAATTTCTTGGTTTCTCATTGCGTATAAAAGTTATGTTTACACTATACTGTAGTTTATGAAGTGTGCAGTAGCGTATGCCTGACAGTGTACGAACCTGAATTAAAAATACTTTATTGCTGAAAAGTCCTACCAATCATCTGAGTTTTCAGCAAGTCATAATCACGGATCACAGATCGCCATAACAATTATAATAATAATGAAAAGGTTTGAAGAATGAAAAGTTTAAATTGTGAGAATTATGAAAAGGTGGCACAGAGACATGAAGCAAACAGATGCTGTTGGAAAAGTGGCACCACCAGACTCACTGCACACAGGGTTGGCGCAGACCTTCAGTTTGTGGAGACGTGGTGTCCGCGAAGCACAGTGACATGCGACTTGCCTGTGCCATTGGGTGGAGTGTCTATGTGTCCGTGTGTGTGTATGAGCTATGGTTGGTTTATACTGCAGCTCACCCCTGCAGTTCCCTCTGTTCTGGCTGTTTTTGAAAGTGGGGTCCTGACGTCTTTAACTATTCTTATTATTCATTATTACTAAATCTTTACTATTATTTGGGGGCTCTGATATTTGGCGCAGGTGTGTGTTCGATGTTCTTGGTGAATTGACCCTTTTATTAACATAGGATGTACTTCTGTGTCTCTTGTACCCATCTGTGCTGCAAAGTCTGTCTTGTCTCCTGTTCGTGGAGCCCCCCACTCTTTCAGCTGCTCCCCTGCTCTCACTCTCAGCCTGTTTGTGTCTTTGGATCTGAGTCTTTTGGAGACGGCATATGGTTGAATCATATTGTTTTTAATCCTGAGAGGGACGAGAGCTCTGCTTCTCCTCCAGTCCTGACCCAGCACGCACACTCCTGAGGCCCCCTGACGCTGCTGGTCACCACATGTGTGGTCTCCCCTCCGCCCAGCCACTCTCCGACACCAGCTGTGGGTCTCACAGTTGGACTCAGGTGTGACACCGTCTCCCTGGGGACGGCCTCCAGCCCCCACCTGGCAGGGGCTCAGTCCTGTACGGCGTGCCCACCGCACATGCCAGTCTCCAGGCTAGCTGCCACTGTGCTTCTGATGGACTGGCTGTACCCCAAGGGCCCCAGGACCCCAGTTTTTGGTTCAGTCATTCACTGCAGCTCACAGAACCTGGGAAAATACTTTCGGTACTGTCGCCGATTGATTACAGAGGACATTTCAAAGGATACAAGTGACCCTCCACACAGAGGAGACACTTAGGGCAAGTATGTGGGAGGGGACACAGAGCTTCCATGCCCTGCCGGGCGGACCACCTTCCCAGCTCCTCCGTGTGCTCAGCAACCTGGCAGCTCTTCAAATGCCATCCTTTTGGGTTTTTAGGCAGGTTTTTTTTTTTTTAATGTAGGCATGATTAATTAAATCACTGACCCTTGGTGGTCTATTCAGCCTCCAACCCCGCTCCCCTCCCTGGAGGTCAGGGTTAGGTGGGACTGAAAGCTCCAAGCCTCTAACCATGTGCTTGGCTTCACTGGCAACCGGCTCGCATCCTGTGGTTGTTTAGGGGCTTTCGGAAAATCACCCCATTCACACAAAGTCCGATGAGGCTGAAAGGGGCTTGTTACGAGCAACAAAAGGCACCCTTCCCCTTCATGGCTCATCACTTAGGAAATTCCAAGGGTTTTAGGAGGTCTGTGCCAGGAATTGGGATGAACACCAAATATATATTTCTGACATTAAATCACAAATCCATTTTTTTAAAGATTTTATTTATTTATTTGACAGAGAGAGACAGCGAGAGAGGGAACACAAGCAGGGGGAGTGGGAGAGGGAGAAGCAGGCTCCCCGCGGAGCAGGAAGCCCGGTGCAGGGATCGATCCCAGGACTCTGGGACCATGACCTGAGCCGAAGGCAGACGCTTAATCACTGAGCCACCCAGGCTCCCCTCACAAATCCATTTTGCCAGTCTGTGTCTTTAATCTGTTTACATTTAAAGTAATTATAAAAATAATGAATAACTTGTTTCTGCCTTTTTGCTATTTGTTTTCTGATGTCTTACAGATTTTTTTCCTTCACTACTGCCTTCTTTCATGTTTGTTTGACTTTCTTTAGTAACACATTTTGATTTCCTTTTGTCTGTATTCCGTGGATATTTTCTTTGTGGTTACCATAAGAATTACGCATAACATCCTAAAGTCGTAACCGTCTAACTGAATGGATAACGAGTTAATTCCAGTCACATACAAACAGTCTCCTCCTATGTAGCTGTGCCCACCCCTGTCCATTGGCTGCCACAGGGGGGAGGGCGGTGCACCTGTTCATAGTTGATGCTGTGGAATCAGGGCTCTGCCTTGGGGATCCTGGGCCTCCCAACAACCACTAACCCTCCCTGGTCTTTAGAGGCCTGTCATCCTAAAGAACATTCTTAATGGGAAAGCAGGTGCACAGTGAGGCTTTAATGATGGTCCTGAAAGAAGCAACGAAGGGAAAAGCATCCTGGCCCGAGGGGGGGGCACGTAGCTCTGCTGTGGTGGTGGCTTCTCGGGGCCTTGCAGGCATGGTGTGTCCGTGGCCACGCCAGTGCGGGCCCCCCTAAGCCCTGCGCTTCTGCCCCTGTGAGAACTGCTGTGGGAGCTGCAGGGTCAGGCCTTCTCCAGGCTGCCCAGGCCCTTCCCCATGGAACAGCGCACTTGGCCTCTCTGTCTTCTGCAGTGAGCCTGCCAAGGGGCGTCCGGCTGTGCGTAGCCCACACAGGTGGGATGTCAGCAGTTGTCCGGGAGCTCACAGCTGATGTGCCTCCAGGGGGCCTGGGGGCCACGCTGTGTGTGGTGTGGGGGACCTGCTGCCCCACCCCCCACCCCAGCTGTGCTGGCTCATGGCCTCCGTGCTCTGCTGTTTCAGAGCAGACCTACTGTGACCGCCTGGTCCAGGACACACCTTTCCTGATGGGCCATGGAAGCCTCAGTGAGCAGCAGGTGGACAGGATCATCCTCCAGCTGAACCGCTACTACCCTCAGATCCTCAGCAACAAGGATGCAGAGAAGGTAATGGGAGGGGGCTGGCATGTCTCCCATGGGTCCCTTCCCCCCTGGGCTGGGAGGAAGTAGGGTTGGGGGCAGGGCAGGACAGCTCAGAGGTGAAAGCCCAGCTCCTCGCAGTGATGTTGGGCCCAGAACATCAGTTCTGCGAGCCTTAGTCTCTTCCTATGTCATTGGGGCCTGCTGGCAGCCCTCCAGAGATGCCAGGAGCACCCCAGGAGACAGGACAGTGTGCCCCCACACATGACAGGCCTGGGAGTGGTGTGGGGAGTGGGGGAGGAGCAGGGCTGCTGGCCAGCCTCCACCCCAGTGCCACATGGCTTTGCCCCTGCCTCTTACAAAAGTTCGAAAATGGACAGACGTTTGGGGAAACCAAGGGAGAGTGGGTTGCACCTTGCCTGTGCCGCCCTTTCTCTGCTCCCCCCTCAATGCCAGGGCTTTGGGGTGCGGGGCTCCCCTCCAGCTGGGTGACTGACTGAGTCCTGTTCTTGGAGCTGCAGCTCCCGCCGCTGGTGCAGAGCTGTCCACAGGCTTTGGGGCCTCTCCTGGGGACAGCCAAAATCTACCTGGGCTCTGCTACTGGCTCAGAAGCTTAAGTTTAAAAGTATACAGTAAGTTAAAAAGCATGGGTAAAATTTATACCTTATTATTGTAATTAAAAGTCTAATATATCGTGTACAAATTTGAATTTGAAAAGTTTCAGACGTTTATACAAAAAAAAAGGAGACTCCTGTATATACACACCCACAATATTCCGTTCCTCATAGTTTCCGTGGCTCCTGCCATATGCTTGTCTTTGCCTTTGCAGTTTCTGGTTCAATTCTGGTTCCAAGTGGAATGGTATGCTGCCACCAGGTGGCGGCACCAGGCCACAGCTTCCAGGTTCCAGGGATCCAAGCAAGAGCCCAGTTCACTGACTTTTAGAACCACACATTTCTCCATCAAACACATCAAAAGAGCTTGTTTTTTTCCTGCTTAACCCTTGTTTTTTATTTTTTATTTTTTTAAAGATTTTATTTATTTATTTGTCAGAGAGAGAGGGAGAGAGCACAAGCAGGGGAAGCGGCAGGCGGAGAAGCAGACTCCCCACTGAGCAGGGAGTCCAATGTGGGGCTCTATCCCAGGACCCTGGGATCATGACCTGAGCCAAAGGCAGACGCTTTACTGACTGAGCCACCCAGGCGCCCCTTAACCCTTGGTTTTTAAAAAACTTGAATCACATGCCTGTACACTGTAAAGTACTGGAAGTTATCACTTATGCTATCACCTCATTGATTCCCTGTACCGACCCTACCATTTGGGTTTATTATATTCTTTTTACAAGTGAAAACAGAGTCGTAGTGGGTGAAGTGACTCGCCAAAGTCACACAGCAAGCCATCAGCTTCTAACAGTTGGAATAATGTTGCCACTCTCCTCCTTGATGCTATCTGGCCTCCACAGGGAGGGAGTGCAAGGACCAGTGACTGTGCTGTGACTGCAGTGTGGGTGGGCTGTGGCCCTGGGTGGTCTGGGGTGGTCAGTTGCTGCCTCCTTTGAGTGTTCTGAGCCCCCCAGCCGCCCGTATCCTGCCCCTTGAGCCTGACCTTCCCCTGCACCCTTTCCACCCCCAGTTCCGGAACCCCAAGGCGTCCCTGCGCGTGCGGCTCTGTGACCTCCTGGGCCATCTGCAGCAGAGCGGCGAGCGGGACTGCCAGGAGTTCTACCGGGCCCTGTACATCCATGCCCAGTCCCTGCACAGTCGCCTGCCCAGCCGGCTCGCCCTGCGTAAGTGTGCCCGGCCCCTCACCCGAGGCCGTCTCCGCAGCGGCCCCCAGAGCGAGGAGGGAGCGTTTCAGATGCAGAGATCATTGTCTCTGTCTCTCTTGGGCCAGTCTGTACACAGAAGGTAGTATCTTGTGCGCGAGGCTCTGCCCTCCTCTCTAGCCTAGCACACTGGGAGTCCTTAGGCTTGTGTGGGGGTGGCTCACGGCTGTACCAGCCTTGAGCAAACTGCACCCCCATGGAGAAGCCGAGGTTGCCCCCACAACTGAGGATGCCCGGGGGGATCCCTGCAGTGTGGGTGTTTCTGTAGAACAGTCTCGGGCAGAGATGGCTGGTCCGACGCACGTGCGTTTAGTTTATAGGGTCTTGCTTGAGTGCTCAGGAGATGTGTGAGTCCCAAGGGACCCTCTGCTGCTGGGTTGGGGATAAGGGAGGCGTAGGCGGGGCTAGCGGCTCAGTCCTGAGGCCTCTGTGCCCTGGTCCCCTGGAGGAGGGGCTGCTGTCCCTCAATCCTCTGATGTGAAGCTGGAGGCCTGAGGGACAGGGTGGCTCACCCGCTCACCCCAGGACGCTCAGCTGGGACTGAGGGCTGGTGTCCCTGACCTGAGGGCGGCCGGCAGAACCGGATCCTGAGCTCTAGCCCAGGACCAGCACATCATACCGGCCACTGGGGGGCCCCACAGCCTGGCTGGGAGTCACACACCTTCCAGGCTCTTGGGCCATCAGCAGGTGGCTGGTTGAGGAGTTCTGGGGAGAACACGCTCCCTGCCCTCATGTGGACATCAGACTTGGGACAGGCGGGTGTTCATGCTGCATTTGGTGACTGCATCTGCAGGGAACAATGGCCCCCACCCCATGGCCCTCAGGGTCTCAGGGAATGAACAGAAGGAAACCCAAAACTCAGGGTTCCATGAGGCTGGTCCCAGGGTCCCCTCTCTGGTGCTGACTCCCCCAAGCCCAGCCCAGAAGGCTGGGTGCCCATACAGCCTGGTCCCACCCAGCCTGGGGGCCCCCAGGGTTGGTGGGAAGAAGCCTGAGCAGGCCCTTGGTTTCCTTTGGGCGGGGCAGCCCCCTTCCTCTGGCCCGCCCACCACTAACCGAGCCCTGTAATTTTGTTTCCAGAGAACTCAGATTGCACAGAGCTAGACTCAGGCACCGTGGGCCGCGAGCTCAGTGACAGGGGTAACCGCCTCCTTGACCCTCACCCCATTCCCCCCCCAGGGTTCCGTCTCTGCCTCAGGGGCTGCTCCTTTCCAAGTCAGGCTTGGTCCTGGCTTCCCACTGCACGGGCCCCAGGGTGCTTGCTGGGGCGCCCCGTCCTCCAGGCTCAGACAGCCACTTGCTCACGTGCCCTTTTTCTCCCCAGGGCCTGTGGCCTTCCTGGCCTGCCTCGGCCTGGCCGCGGGGCTGGCGCTCCTCGTCTACTGCGGCCCTCCAGGTGGGTGCTGCCTGGCCAGGCTCGGGCACTGAGTCCCCTGGCCTCCCTGTGCCTCAGTTTCCTTGCCTGCACAGTGGGACAGTGGCAGGGCCCACCTTGCAGGGCACAGGAAGAAGAGGGAATGTGGGGCTCCGGTTCTCAAGCCCTCCACCCCCAGGGGGGCAGGGAATGACAGCCCCTGATGGGAGGCGGGGCGCAGCTGGGCTCGGGTTAGAAAGCCCCGTCCTGGGTGGGGCCTGGAGCAGGGCACCCACCTCTGGCCCCTCCACGGCTCAGCCCTGACAAATGGACGGGAGGCCCGTGGCCCAGCGTGGCAGCTGCCGTCCCTTTCCTGCCGCGCCGGGCCTGTGGCAGCCATGCGTGGGGAGCCAGCGCCGGGCAGGCCTGCTTGGCAGGGATACCCCATGTCCCTCGGCTGGGGGGCTTGGCGGTGCATGGGGCTGAGAACGTTGGTGGCGGTTTCTGAGACCACCTTGTCTTCCAGACCCCAAGGTGCTGCGGGGGGCCCGGCGTGTCCTGGGCTTCTCCCCCATCATCGTTGACAGGCACGTCAGCCGCTTCCTGCTGGCCTTCCTCACAGACGACCTGGCAAGGCTCTGACGCCCCCGCCTGCCCGCCCAGGGGCCTGCCACTTCTTTTCTAAATGCTTGTTTTTCACTATTTATACTTTTTTAAGAAAGTTACCTTCACCTGACAAAGGTACTCCACAATATTAAATGTTGGAGTCTTGTCCTTTTTCTCAGGAGTGTTTTCTGGATGATTCTGACCCTGAGGGCACCTGGTGTCCCACAGACAGCCTGGGGCCCAGGTCCTGCTGAGGCTGCCCTCAGCGCCCGCCCCCCACACACCCCATGCCTCGCTGTTTCCCCCACGTGTTCCCTGCTCTCCTTTCACTCTACGCGTTCCCACAGCTTCCCGCCAGGGCACGCCCCTCCCACGTTGAGCCCCTCTGCCGTCCCTGCTTGGTGTGTCGTGTGCCCCCACACCCGTCCCTGGCCCTACCCTGGCCCTACCCAGCCACCAGCCCCGGCCCAGGTAGGAAGGCTGAGTGGGAGCACTGCCCTGGGGCACCAAGGGCACCAGCTGCATACCCCAAGAAGCCCCAGTGCCCGCGTGTGTTCACTCCCTTCCACCCAGTGGTCCCAGCACGTGGGGGCTGCACCCCTCCTTTCCTAAAGAGGAAACAGGGGTTACTTGGCCAGGAGAAGGGGCACCCAGCATGTGAGGCGGTCCAAGCTTCACCACTGTCCTCATTCCCTTTCCATGATGTGTCCCCATCCAGTCACCAGAGTGGACGCCGAGGTCCTGGGCCCTGCCTGGCCTTGCTGGCCCCTGTCCTGGGAACGGAGCCCCTCCCCACTGGCAGGTGACGACCTGGGCTTACTGGGTCTGGGGTGGGTCCGATGGATACAACTACAATCAGAGCCTGGAAATGATCCCAGGCAGAGACTGGGAGTAAAACAGTCCACAGAACCTACTAGAACTTTTAGAGATGAAAAACGTCATTGTGCCATCTGAGATCCTGGCCTCTAGCTCATCACGTCTTCCCGCTCAGCATCCTGGGGTTTGACTGCACCAGGCTCCTCATCATCTTGGGGACATAGGCCTGTCCCCTCAACCAGGGTGTCTCCACCCCGGTCTCACCTGCCAGCCTCAGGCTCAGGATCCCAATGTGGAAACTTCCCTCGTGGACACGGGAGGGTAAGTGTGCAAGTTCAAGAGGGCCTGGTGCCCTACCCTTGGCATCCAGCAGCACGGTCCTGAGGGCCCTGTAGGCCCACCAAGTCCCCAGTGCTGGGCCGTGCGTGCGTGCCACCCGCCTGCAGGCGGGAGCTCACAGCACCGCATCCCTCTGGGCGCCGCCGTTTTCATTACAGCCACCAAGATGGGGCTTCCACCTGCCCTCCCCGCACACGCACACCCTCAGACACATGCACCAGGCTGGTCCCCCGCGGTCCCTCTCCCAATTGCCTCCCTGTCGGCTCCTCCCCCGACAGCCTCCTTTTGGGGAAACAGAAGCATATTTGTCAACCCAAGAATCACCATGAGTTTGCATTTTTCCACAGGAGGTTTCTGGAGATGCCAGGGCTGGCTGCCTCCAGGAATGACAGCGCTCCCAGGTCTCAGGGTGGCAGGGCACGGGGCCAAGGAAGCAGCTCCAGGGCATGGTGTCCCACCCCCACGCGGCCTGCTCAGGGACTAATTCACTCATTCCTGCGCCCAGGCGGACAAGTGAGGGCCAGGGCGAGGGAGAGCTGAGCAGCAGCCTCTGGCACGCCTGGATGCCGCGGGCCCGCATGGCCTACCACTCACTCGCCACCGCTGTGCTGCAGGCCCTGGTGCGGCTCCAAAGGTGGAGCCGCGGTTTGCCCATGTGTATCATGGAAACAGTCCTGGGAGAACTCCTTGAGCAGGCCTGGGACAGCACTGCTCAGTTACATGCAGTTCGCCAGAACTCTCTCCATGAATTTACCAGTCTGTGGGAAGGTGCATCAGATGCATCTTTCCCTCTGGGACACCCCGTCGGGTGGAGCAAGCACGGTTGCTTGCACTCAGCTGTGAGGGACGCAAGGGCCACCCTGAGCCGCTGGGCTGAATGGAGCCCACAGCTTGGCCCCACACAGAGGTCCTCTTGACCTTGCTCAAGGCCCAGGTGAGGGATCTGCGAGCCTGCCCATTCCCCAGCAGTCCCCCTTCCGGGGCCTGACCGGGCCTGGAAAGACGCACTGCATTTCAGATCCCTTGCGGCCAGGTCCCCATGCGAACGGCTCCCATCACTGCGGAGGCTGGACTGGAGGCCACCTTCCCACTGGCCCACCGCACCAGCGGCCGGGTCCCTGCACCCACTCTGGACTCTGACTCGGGGGGGGGGGTGGGCAGAGGTTCTGGAGGCCAGCAGACCCCTGAGGCTCAGCCAGGCACGTCTTGCCTGGTCTGCAGCCACTCCACCCATCATGAAGGGCCGAGATACCAATTCCCAGGGTAAATTTCTTCCTGGGCAGGCGCCGTGGGGTGTTCTCCATGTTTGTCCCACTCTCTGACACAGCTGGGAAAAGGTGACAGACACACCCTGCTGAAGGTGACAGAGACACCTGGGTAAAGGTGCTGGATGCTCCCAGGTAAAGACACCCAGGTAAAAGTAAATTAGGCCACTGCGTGAAGGTGCAGACACGGCTGGCCCCCAGGAGGTGAAAAGAGTTTTCCGGAGTGATAATTTTACCTCAGCTGGTAACACCTGCCCTGTTCTGAACATTTGTGTCCCTCCAAAATCCACAATATTGAAACCTAACCCCCAAGGTGATGGTGGTAGGAGGTAGGGCCTTTGGGGATAATTAAACCGTGAGGGTGGAACCCAAGATGGGATTAGTGACCTTATAAAAGAGACTCCAGGGAGCCTGTCATGTGAGGATAGTGAGAAGAGGAAGCCAGTTCTCACTACACACCAAATCTGCTGATGCCTGGATCTCAGACTCCCAACCTCCTGAAGTAAATGTCTGTATGGATAAGCCTCCCCCACCCGAACCAAGACAACGCCTTTGAACAAACATCCCAGAGACAGGCCCAGCGGGCCAGTGGCGGGGAAGGTCCTGCTGCTGTCTGCCACCTGAGACCTGTAAGGCCTCCACTCCTTCGGGCCCCGTGGTGGGGTTCCTTCCCCTGAGCAAGGGGTGGTCAGTGCCCGTCCCAGGTCTCCAGGCCCAGCTGGTGAGCTGTGGCGGTCCAGCAGGGCATGAGAGGCACCGCAGGTCACAACCTCCCCTGCTCCCCCTGCCCCAGCTGCTCTAGGCCCTCACCATTTGTCCCTGTATCCTCAACTCCACACATCTACAACTGGAACCATTCATAATCCATGCCTGAGCACCTTTCACGTGCTGGGCCCACAGCTGGAACGTTCTTTCCTAAGCCCCCAAGGGCTTAACTTTCGGACTTGGGTAAAATGTTACCTCCTCCAGGAAGCCCTTCCAAATGCTACAGTAACAAGAATAGGTCCTCATCCTGGTTACGATAGTACTGGGATCCATTTGCACTCGAGAAGAGTGCAGGAGCTGGGAGAGGCTGCGTGGGGTGGAGAACGGTTCCCAAGATTAGATACGTGACAGAGGTGTGAGGATGGTTAGGGAGAGTGAAATGACATGTGAGGAGGTGTGAGGAGGGTGTGTGGAGGTGTGAAGAAGTGTGAGGTGATAATGATGGGGTGTGAGGGGGTGTGTGTATATGAGGAGGTGAAAGAAGGGTGTGAAGAGACATGAAGAGCATATGAGGGGGTGCAAGGAGTGTGTTGGAGGTGTGAGGCGGTGGAAGCAGGTGGGAGGAGGTGTGAGGAAGTGTGAGGAGGTGTGGGGAGTATATGAGGTGTGAGGTGTACATGAGGAGGTGTGAGGAGTACATGAGGAGGTGTGAGGAGTGTATGAAGAGGTGGGAAGAGGTGTGAGGAGTATATGAGGAGGTGTGAGGAGGTTGAGGAATGTGAGGTGTGAGGAGGGTATGAGGAGGTTGAGGAGCATATGAAGACATATGAAGAGGTGTGAGGGAGTTAAGGGGGATGTGAGGTGTGAGGAGTACATGAGGAGGTGTGAGGAGTATATGAGGAGGTGTGAGGAGTACATGAGTAGGTGTGAGGAGTATATGAAGAGGTGGGAAGAGGTGTGAGGAGTATATGAGGAGGTGTGAGGAGTACATGAGGAGGTGTGAGGAGTACATGA